CAGGTAAGGGTCAGGTACGGGTTAAGATTTTGGCGGGAAAAGTCAGGTACGGGTCAGGTACGGGTTAAGATTTGGCGGGAAAGTCAGATTTGGGGCAGTTTCGGGTCACACGTGGCCAGCGCATGGCCTGATTATATCCCCGTTACAGTGTGCTCTTTTTTAGTAATAAGAGTTTTTTGGTTGAAATTGTATAATATATATTTCACTATATAACAAAACGTCAAATAACAACATCAGCATGACTGCATAATGAATAGGGCCTTGTAAAGTTGTCCCAGAATATATAAATCACTGCACAGCTAAAATATCCAGACAACACAAAGCCAACACACATTAAAGGGTCAAAGGCGTTACACATGCGACAACGCCAGCTAAAGAATATAAAAACCAGAACAATCATTTAGCAATTATCACCTTGTAATTTGGGAAAATCACCTTCACTACTCTGTGCCCCAAAATAACAGCAGGCATGGCATAATAAAAATAATCTTCACGTGCTTGTTTCCATGTCAGGCTGTTATAAGGGGCGAAAAATGAAGGCGACGCGGAAGTGGTGGCGGCGCGGCATAGTTTTTCCACCTGCATGTAGAGACTAAAAAAAACTGACATGAGACAAGCTGACAGTAATAAAAACAGCGGAAATAACCAACACTTGAATCAATCGACGCTGACACAAACAACCTCCAATACCTTCACTCTCTGTCCTGCGAGTAAGCAAAGAAACGTGATGCAAGAAATGTAGATTGCCAAGTTAAGAAAAAAAAGACAACAATCTGCAAGGGAAGGTGACTTCATAGATCGCAACGGGGGAAAGATAGGAGATACGGTATTGCAAAGTAAAGAAAACGAACAACAATCTGCAAGGATAGGTGAATTTATAGATCGCAATTGCGGAAAGATAGAATATATTGCACAGTCAGGAAAATGAAACAACAATCTGCAAGACAAGACGGCTTTAAGGGATCGCAGTGGCGGAAAGACAGATTTATATGTTTACATGAAATAACATCAGCGCAAAAAAAACAAATGAATCACCATAGTTGACTAGCGTCTTGTCGCTGAAGAATCGCCCCCTGCGATGATACTCGCTTTATGCCACAGAAAGGTTCATAACGGGTATTTATATTTTTTAAAAAGAGATAGAATCGTGAAGACTTCGCTACCTACAGCTGGTGCGAAAACTAATATGCTATTAGGAACAGATACATTGTTGGATGAGTATTAGAGCTAGGGACGACAAGATAACGAGTTGGGGACGACGGGATAGGAGCATGAGATTAGGCTTAGCTAGGAGTGGAAAGGTAACAGCAAGAATAGAGCATGGAACAACTACGGTACAAGAGAAACAGGAATGCTGAAGTGGGTGGACAATCGAAACCCTCAATTTTCGCGTCGAAAGCGTTTAAAACTTTTACATCGGTAGAACGAGAACGTGTAGATAGCGTAGCGGTTAGTGATTGAGGGTTCAATCGGGAGGTAACGGGTTAAATCATGCGCGAACGATTTCGTCCGCGTGTTTTCTTGCAAAAGAAATTGATAATTAAAATAAGTTTCCCACATTTGTACAGCCTCCTTAGCTCAGTGGTTCCTATTCCGTAAGTGAACTGAAGGAAAGGAGATCGATTCTAGCCATAGTGTTTGTTACATCAAAGCAGGGCTCTCGTTATCAGGGTAAAACACCCTGATTGCCCTGACTGGCGGCCGCTTTTTTTCAGTTACGCTTTCCCAGAAAGGGTAATGAGTTTTTTACCCTAGGCCAGAAAGTGTAAGTTTCTTTTTCCCCTGAAAAACAGGGAATAGGATTTATTTCTCTGACTGTAACAGGGTACGATCTCAACTACACTGATACCGAAGCTCCGTAGTGAGACAAAACACGCTTCGAGTCCCCACGAAATACTACCAACAGCGAGAATCGAACATGCCACCTTACAGATCTTATTCCCAAGCGTACCAACTGAGCCACTAAGTGTTGAACCGGAGGACTTTTGCATTAATTCATACGTAAACAAAGTGTACCAAAAAAATTACCCTGTCCAAACAGACTTATAGTTTTTTTTCCCTGAATTTGGCAGGGAATTTTTTTTTTTACCCTATGCATTAGGGTTGACAATACCTAGAACCCTGATTACTAAGGGTGGCCCAAAACGAATCTGAAGCCCTGCATCAAAGTACATGTTGCTTGTAGTTTTACACGCCGGTCGGAAAATTTTCGGAGTCGAGAACTGCCAGCGACAGGTATCGAACCCGCATCCCCAGAACCCCATGGTCCTTTCGGCTTTTGGGACACGTTCGGGTCAGGTACGGGTCAGTACTACGTTTGGGCCAGAAAACTCACTGACCCCAAACTATCTCCCAACTGACCACTAACCCTAAAGTGTCCCAAAAGTCACTTTCGGGGCAATTTTGGGCCAGGCTGGGGTCAATCCGGTTTCCGGGTCAGGTTTGGGTCAGAAACATTTTGGTGATGTGCAGGGTAAGGTGGTTTGAGAGATTATGGGGTACGAGTTTACTACAACACGTCTGTCATGCGCGACTGGCGCTACAGACTTAAATCGACAGGATGCTTATGATTATGGGTAGGGGTGGGGGTAGGGTATTAACGTTATTACATCGGATCGGGCAAATGCATATAGATTTTCCCAGACGTGACGACAGTATACACCGCGAAATCATTGACGAGCGGTGTCGTTCCGCCGTAACCTTTTCTCACCTGCTGCCCCTCCTTCTGCCCGGCTAGCGTGGCGCCGGTGACCTTGCCCTTGACGACGTGCAGCAGTAGCACCTCGCAAAGCACCTTCCTTTCGCGGAGCTCCGATTTGATGTCGCTCGAAAGGTTCGCGAAGGCGGCGTTTGTGGGAGCGAAGACGGTCGCCTCGTAGCAGCGGAACAGGTCCGTCAGATCCTCGTCCAGCCCTGACGGATACCTGCAGACGGAAACCGTGAAGCGGAGGTGAGATTTAGGAAAATTAGCTAACGAATATTGGATTAATGAGTCTAGTCAGGGCGTGTAAGATCGCAGCGTCGAGCATTCAACGTGATTGGCATGCTGCGGACTGGAATCTGACCTGTTGTTTTCAGCGCGTCCACAAAGGTGGTGTAGTTTTTGGCGGCCCTGAGCTCCCTCATCAGGTTGCTCACCACGAGCTTCCCATTGAAGCGGCAGTACGGGCGAGCAGCGTCAACGGTCAATGATAGGCTCAGGAGCGCGAGGACAAGCAGAGAGAATGCGGAGATTGATTTTGCAGCCATGGCGGAAAGCAGCTAGATTGTTGAAGACAAGGGGGCGAATTTAGTCGAGTGGTAATGTCGGGAACTTGTGAACAAGTCAGAAGGGATAGTAGATTAGCTTGAATGATTGAAAGCTCCAAATTTCTCAACATTTGTACTCTACTGCTTCTCGTTCCAGCAACTTCAAAAGCGGATTAATTGACGAAGCATGCATGGAGCGGCTCGGCTACTGGACGATAAGCGACAAGCGACTCGGAAGGACAAGCCGACGAACCGCCTCGTCAAGAAGGTATCAAAAGCGGCCGCAGTCAACCGGCCACTTGTTTGCTTTGTGTTGCGATGGTGTTAGGGAAGCTGCCGCTATAATATATCGGCTGGGTTCGGTTTGGAAGGGCCGCTAGGCCGCTTCCTTTCCACCAATCATCGCCTTAGACAGTGCTCACCGAAGCACTACCAAGGCGTATGGGTCGGGTACTGTTTTCCGGTACAGTACCGAGGATTGAAACTGCAGAAGGTTTGTAACCAGTGTTTTTGTACTAGTAGTCAACATTGTAATTGTAAATAATCAACATTGTCTTCGCCTCTTCCTTACACCGTGTACAGTTCTGTTCATACATCTCAGGACTGATCCCCAACATCAGCACTAGGCCCATAAATCACTCTATATCACTGCTCACCTGTTTCTGCTCATAACTTCTGGGATTCCTTTTTCTCACCGCAACCAGGTGCTTTCTAATTGCTGCTTATTCTACACTCTTGGATGTAAACAAAGCGATAAATAAAATGCCTACATAAGCTAACCACTTAAATGGTTACTCGCAATCTCAACATACACAGCATGATAGATGGCTAAACACGTGGCTTGCTATCCGCTTAGCTCGCTACACACATGGCCTGCAACTTCTAAACCACACAGCAACACACAGGGCTACAAGCACAGCAGCACCAACTCACAGAACAGCTGCATCTCCCCCTCCCCCACAGCCTCTGGCATCCCCCCCTGGCAGTCCAGTGATAGTAACACGGCAGCACCCCTGGGTGAAGACTACATCTGATACCCCAGCAGGGCATCAGCCGTCCCCTCAGAGCGGCAAATACCGTAGCAGCAAACTCCGCCACCAGCGCTTCAAACCGCTGCCTTGGCAGCGGGGGCTGTCTCAACACCAACTCACAGAACAGCTGCATCTCCCCCTCCCCCACAGCCTCTGGCATCCCCCCCTGGCAGTCCAGTGATAGTAACACGGCAGCACCCCTGGGTGAAGACTACATCTGATACCCCAGCAGGGCATCAGCCGTCCCCTCAGAGCAGCAAATACCGTAGCAGCAAACTCCGCCACCAGCGCTTCAAACCGCTGCCTTGGCAGCGGGGGCTGTCTCAACACCAACTCACAAAACAGCTGCATCTCCCCCTCCCCCACTGCTGCTGCGGCCACACACATACCGTAGCTCGCTGCACACACCATGACACCCATCAGCAGCACTACATCTGATACCCCAGGAGCGCATCGGCTGTCCCTTCAGAGCGGCAGAGGGCAGCAAAACCTGCCACCAGCGCTTCAAACCTCTGCCTTGGCAGCGGGGGCTGTCTCAACACCAAATCACAGAACAGCTGCATCTCCCCCTCCCCCACCGCCTCACACGAACACGCATGGATGACACTACATTTGATACCCCAGCAGCGCGTCGGCGGTCCCCTCAGACCTGCAGAGGGCAGCAAAATCCGCCACCAGCGCTTCAAACCTCTGCCTTGGCAGCGGGGGCTGTCTGAGAACCAACTCACAGAACAGCTGCATCTCCCCCTCCCCCACCGCCTCTGGCACGCCCTGTTGGAAGTCCGGTGAACGTAACGCGGTAACCAGCCAGTTGGGGAGGAGCGGGTGGAGGTCCGGGAAGAGGATGAGGTGGTAGAGAGCGGTGGCGATGGGTCTGAGTAGGTCTCTGGGGGCTTTTCCGGCTGCTGCTAGGAGGAGGGAGGAGACGACTGGTTGGCCCTGGTGCTGCAGACTCGTTATAATCACGGGTTGGGCACTGGGGGGGTTTGGGGCAAGGGGGGAGCAGGAGCAAGGGGAGAGGAGGGACAAGGGGAGAGGAGGGGCAAGGGGAGAGGAGGGGCAAGGGGAGGAGGGGCAAGCGGAGAGGAGGGGTAAGGGGAGAGGAGGGGCAAGGGGAGAGGAGGGGCAAGGGTACACGGGAGAGGGGAGGGGAGATAGGAGGGAGGAGACTATTGCTGCAGACTCGAACAACTATGAAACAGGGACTTGAGGAGGAGGGGATGGGGCGAGGGGCGAGGGGCGGATTCCCTTTCCCCGGCGGATTCCCTTCCTGCGTGCGCCACCGTGGCAGCTGCTGCATCCATCAGCAACCCCAGGAAGGGCGCCCTCTTGGGCCCAGCGACAGCAGCCGGCACAGCAGTGCGACCGCACGTGCGCTGCGAGCGACTGCAAGAGACTGTCCAGGTGTGGGAGAGTGACGACGGTCTCACTTGATCCAGGCATGGGTCGAAAGTGCCTTTTTCCCCCGGGACAGCAGGAAGCACAGCAGTGTGAGCGCTGCGCTGACTTGGCGGAGTCTCTCTCCCTGTGTGCCACCGTGGCTGCAGCCGCGTCCAGAAGCGCGCCCAGGAAGGGCTCCCTCTTGCACGAGACAGCAGCCAGCACAGCAGTGGGAGCGAGCAACAGCAAGAGACTGAGGGACTGGGATAAACTTGGTGTGAAAGAGAGACAATCTCTTACCTGGTCCAGGCGGGAGATGAGAGCGCTTTCTTCCCTGGGGACAGCAGGAAACAGCGCAGGGTGAGCGCTGCGCTGACTTGGCGGAGTCCCTTTCCCCATGAGCCACCGTGGCTGCTGCCACGTCCAGCAGCGCGCCCAGGAAGGGCGCCCGCAGCAGCAGGTGCGGCCTCTTCCCCAAGGGACCCTCAGACAGCAGCATGCCCAGAAGTGGGAGCGAACGCTGAGAGAAACAGTGAGAGACTGAGGGAGTGTGGGACAGACTGGGTGTGGGAGAGTGACGACGGTCTCACCTGATCCAGGCGGGGGACGAGAGCGCTTTCTTCCCCGGGGAGAGCAGGAAGCACAGCAGTGTTAGCGCTGATTTAGCCGAATCCCTCTCCCCGTGTGCCACTGTCGCTGCAGCGTCGTCCAGCAGCGCCCCCAGGAAGGGCGCCTGCAGCAGTAGGTGTGGCGCGAAGAGCAGGTAGCGATAGGCCATGTCGAAGAGGGCTGAGAGGACCTCTGGGCGGTGGGGGAGATGGCCTCTCTGTGAGGGGGACGAGAAGGAAGGAGGAAGCATGGATTGAGACGAGTTGGATTGGAAGGGAAGGCTGCCGCAGCAGGTGTGGAGAGAGGAGCCCTTGATAGGTAGGACCTCCGGCAGGAAGGAGTGTGACAGCAGGTGACTTTTGAGTCGACTCAAAAAGTTCTGAAAGGAAGGAATAAGAGCACTCAAAGCAGCAAGAATTGGCAACTCAAGCTCGGCCAGCCCAGGAGCACCATCTCACCTGAATGAGCGAGAAAGCACTGATGGAGCAGGCCTGCAGTGCGTCGAGTTTTGAGTCGACTCAAAACTCAACCCAGGAGCACCATCTCACATGAATGAGCGAGAAAGCACTGATGGAGCAAGCTTGCAGCGCGGAGTGACAGACAGATAGATCACAAGCTGCACCCCCTGCAGACGCCGCAGCGGCACTGAGCTCCAGCACCAATGCCAGCACCTCCAGTACTGCCGGGTGCTGGAGAGGGCCTCACCTGAATGAGCGAGAATGCACTGATGGAGCAGGCCTGCAGGGCGGAGTGACAGATAGACAGATCCCCAGCTGCACCCCCAGCAGACGCTGCTGAAGCACTGAGCTCCAGCACCAAAGCCAGCACCTCCAGTACTGCCGGGTGCTGGTGCTCCTCGAATGCGGTGACGAGCGGTGCGATGGACGGCAGGATGGGTGGAGAGGGGTGCTTGAGGCAGAGCAGGGAGTGTCGGAAGAGGTGGCAGAGGGCGGTGATGACTTGCGGGTGGGAGCGCCATCGGGGGGAGGAGAGGAGATCGGAGACCAGTGGTGCTGCTGCTTCCATTACTGCTATGCACGGGTGCTGCTGCTGCTGCTGCTGCTGTTGGTGGTTCTGTGATTGTAACTGTTCCGGTGTGTGCGCCCCTCCGTTCCTCAGTGCTTCGTGCTGTTGTTGTTGGTGGTGGTGTTGTTGTTGCTGGGAGGGCGGCATGCGTCTCAAGGCGTCGTCAAACTCAAGAAAACGCACAGCCGCAGCCAGCAGCAGTAGCTGCGTCGACAGCGACTCTCCCACCCCCTCACCCCCACTCCCACCACTCCCAACCGCACCAATCCCACCACCCGTGCTACTCCTCCCACCACCATCACTGCTCGATCCAAACCCACTGGTCTCGTTTGTCTGCATCTGCGCCAGCTGTGCCGCCAGCTGTAAGTGAGGCGAGGTGAGGCTGAGAGCAAGAGGAGCCGCGGTGGAGGGGGGGAGGGAGGCGATAACTCTCGCCTGCCCCTCCATTAGAGCCTGTCTAATCTCTAGGTCTACGGAGTGAGGGGAGGCGGGGTGGGAGGCGGGCGCGTGAGAGTGCGAGGAGGGGAAGGAGAAGGAGGAGGAGGAGGAGAAGGAGGAGAAGGAGGAGGAGGAGAGGGAGGAGGAGAAGGAGGAGGGGAGGTGGGCGGTGCCGCGGGGGCGGGAGGCGATGAGGGAGGTGGAGGGGAGGGCGGAGAGGGTGGCGGTCATGAGGTGTTGGAGGAGGGAGGGGGCGTTGAGGCGGGGGGCACAGCGGGCACACACGGCTCTGAATGCACCTGCTGCACTGCGCACTGCCTCTGGTACCTGGGGGGGTGGTGGAGAGGGGGTTTGAAGGCAGGGAGGTGGAGGGGAGCGCGGGGAGCGTGGCAGTCATGAGGTGTTGGAGGAGGGAGGGGGCGTTGAGGCAGGGTGCACAGCGGGCACACACGGCTCTGAATGCACCTGCTGAACTGCGCACTGCCTCTGGTACCTGAAAAAGAGGGGGGGGCAGGGAAGAGAGAATCGGGGTAAGGGGGAAGGGGAATGTGGGGAGAAGAGAGATGAGGGAAAGTGAAGCGGGTGGAGAAATCAACTTGCACACAGCGAAAAGGTTTTTGAGAAGCTGTTTCCTCCTAAGACCCTATAAGTAATCTCTAGGGTGAGAGGCACGTTGGACACAGCGAAAAGGCTTAAAAACCCGCGAGCCAAATTGTTTGAAGTTAGGAAGGTTGGTTGGGGCGAGAGACGCGATGGGCCAGGATTTTGGGTGCCAGGGTCACATTCAACCTAACATCGGAAGGTTGAACCAATTTGGGAGTTCTCGGCCCGCGGGTTACCTGCAAATCTATAAGAGATCACCTGCCTGCAGGGCTTCTAGGAATTACCTGCAGGGCTTGATGAGAATACCTGCAGGGCTTGATGAGAATACCTGCAGGGCTTGATGAGAATACCTGCAGGATTTTAAAAGATTCCTTGCAGGGTTGAATGAAAGAAGCGGCCACAGAGAAAAAACCAACAGAGGTTCAGATAGGTACCTGCAGGGATTTAAGGAGGTATCCAATGACGCCCAGCAGGCAGTCGGGCTGCAGGTTGAGCCAGTCAGCGAAGGAGCCAATGAGGAGGCAACACGTGTCCACCAGCAGGGGGTGCGACGCCAGGAACCCCCCCGTCTCTGCATCCCGGCTCACGCGCACCATCACCCCTCCCAGCACTGCTGCCATGCGCTGCTCCCTCTCCCCATACGCCTCCAGGTTAAGTAGCCGCTTCTTCACTGGGGAGGAGAATTAGAGGGAGCATTGGGGGGGCATTGGGGGGGCATTGGGGGAAGCATGGGGGTGGGATGGGACATGGGGTGCTTAGGGGGTGCGACGCCAGGAAGCATCCTGTCTCCCCGTCTCGGCCCACCCGCACCATCACGCCCCCCAGCACTGCTGCCATGCGCTGCTCCCTCTCCCCGTATGCCTCCCGATTCAGTAGCCGCTTCTTCACTGGTGGGGAGCACTAGAGGGGGAGTTGGGAGAGATGGGGTGCAAAGGGGCTTCATGGGGTGAAGAAATTTGGGGGGTTGAGGGGAAGTTGGGGAGGGTGGGTGGTTGAGGGTTAAAACAAGAGAGCATTATTGTAGCTAGAGCAGCGAAGCACCAGAAGTGCGGTGCAACTGACTTTTGAGACGTCTCAAAAGTCGTCTCCTTACACATAGAGCAGCGAAGCACCAGAAGTGCGGTGCAACTGACTTTTGAGACGTCTCAAAAGTCGTCTCCTTACACATAGAGCAGCGAAGCACCAGAAGTGCGGTGCAACTGACTTTTGAGACGTCTCAAAAGTCGTCTCCTTACACATAGAGCAGCGAAGCACCAGAAGTGCGGTGCAACTGACTTTTGAGACGTCTCAAAAGTCGTCTCCTTACACATAGAGCAGCGAAGCACCAGAAGTGCGGTGCAACTGACAAAAACATGGGTGGGGGCGAGCAACGCTAGGGCAGCAGAGCACACACACATGCTTCCCCTTGCCATACCACTGCGGGTTGCTATGATGTAGGTATTCCCTTTGAGAAGTTTTGAGATTTTCATATCGCCATGATGCAAGAGGTGCGATGCAACTGACATGAGCGTGAGTCTGTGTGAGATGGCAGGCGAGCAGCGTGAGGTGGCAGGCGAGCAGCGTGAGGTGGCAGGCGAGCAGCGTGAGGTGGCAGGCGAGCAGCGTGAGGTGGCAGGCGAGCAGCCCTACCTGCCTGTGCAGCGGATCGCAGCATGAAGAGCGATGCCTCTGCTGCCTGCCATGTGCCTGCGCTCTGCATGATGGTGATGCATGGGATTGCATGGGATGGAATGGTGTGGTGTATGGAAAGAATCACATCACGGCATGAAAAGTTTTCAAAGAGCGACGCCTCTGCGACCTGCCATGTAGGGACACTCTTTGGTGATGATGGTGATGCATGGGATGACATGGGATGACATGGGATGACATGGGATGACATGGGATGGCATGGGATGACATGGGATGACATGGGATGACATGGGATGGCATGGGATGGCATGGGATGGCATGGGATGACATGGGATGACATGGGATGGCATGGGATGGCATGGGATGGCATGGGATGACATGGGATGACATGGGATGGCATGGGATGACATGGGATGGCATGGGATGGCATGGGATGGCATGGGATGGCATGGGATGGTGTGGTGATGGGATGACACGGCATGGTGTGGTATAAGGAAAGGTGTATCATGGCATGTGAAACCATGAACGTGAGTGACCATATCAGATGTGCCCACACCCACGCCCACCTGCAGGGAGGTGCCCACACGATCCTTATACTACACTCCAGTGGCAGCAGCCCAAACCAAAGTGGTGAACACATTGCCATCATGGTTGGCTACCCCTGTCTCCAGTCACGGCATCAGGTCCCTTGGTCTCGCTCGCACCTGCAATGAGCTGCCCCCACCCACACCCACCTGCAGGGACGCCCCCACGCGGTCCATATACTCCACTGGCAGCAGCGCAAACTGGCTATTGCAATGCCATCACGATTACCCATGAGCCGAGTCAGGGCATCAGGATCAGGGTCCCTTGCTCTCGCTCGCACCTGCAGGGAGCTGCCCACGCGGTCCATATACTCCACTGGCAGCAGCCAAAACGCCATGTGCAGCCCATCCGCTGCTAGCTGCCAGGTGAAAACAACAGAGACCAGGTGGGATGGCAGGTGAAATCAACAGCAATCTGAGGAATGAAAGTGTTTGTGTAGCCGCTGAGTTGATGATGCGTAGTACCAAGTGACTTATGAATCAAGCTCGGTTCTGAGAACTCTCAGAACCCAGCTTGACTCAAAAGACACCCCATGTGATGAGCATGAGCTTGACTCAAAAGACACCCCATGTGATGAGCATGAGCTTGACTCAAAAGACACCCCATGTGATGAGCATGAGTCGACTGCCTTCTTCTTCGACTGCCTGTTTACGGTCCCACGTTTCCTCCCCCGGACGCGTCTCCGGCTTGTTCTCCTCCTCGGTCATGGCTTATCCACCTTGCAGACAGAAGTCAGAGAAGAAAAGCAATTGCTAACACCTATCCTGCAAGCATATCACCTCATACTTTTCGTTTTAGTATGACCTCCGTTGCGATCACCTGGCCTCTGTTGCGAACACCTGGCCTCTGTTGCGAACACCTGGCCTCTGTTGCGAACACCTGGCCTCTGTTGCGATCACCTGGCCTCTGTTGCGAACACCTGGCCTCTGTTGCGAACACCTGGCCTCTGTTGCGATCACCTGGTCCCTGAAGCGGTAGAAGGCGTCAGCATCCTCCTGGTTGTCAGCCCACGATGTGAACGATGGCGGATAGGCAGCCTGCAGGTGGGGGAGAGGGAGGGAGTGAAGAGAGGGAGGGAGGGAAGAGAAGGGAGGGAGTGAAAGGAGTGCTGCTTTAAGCTGATCCGGGCACTTGATCGCACGATGTGAATGACGGGGGGTTGCCTGCAGTTGGGGAAGAGAGGCAGGAAGGGAAGAGGTTTTCTCAAACACTCTTGACATGAGAGGCACGAGGCAGAGTGAGGGGGCAGAGTGACGGGGCAGAGTGAGGGGGCAGAGTGAGGGGGCAACCACGCTGCAAGCAAGTAGCCACCAATAGCATGTTATGAAATGCATCCTTCACGCGATGTGAAAGATAAGTGATGGAGGGAGCTATGAGGTCGTTTCACAGTTCACAGTCAATTGATGCATCACCGCATCAGCACTCACACTGCCCCCTCCTCCCCTCCCCTCCCCTCCCCTCCCCTCCCCTCCCCTCCCCTCCCCTCCCCTCCCCTCCCCTCCCATCCCCTCCCTCCCCTCCCCTCCCTCCCCTCCCCTCCCCTCCCCTCCCCTCCCCTCCCCTCCCCTCCCTCCCCTCCCCTCCCCTCCCCCCCCCTCCCATCCCCTCCCTCCCCTCCCATCCCCTCCCTCCCCTCCCCTCCCATCCACTCCCTCCCCTCCCCTCCCATCCCCTCCCTCCCCTCCCTCCCCTCCCCTCCCCTCCCCTCCCCTCCCCTCCCCTCCCTCCCCTCCCCTCCCCTCCCCCCCCCTCCCATCCCCTCCCTCCCCTCCCATCCCCTCCCTCCCCTCCCCTCCCATCCCCTCCCTCCCCTCCCCTCCCATCCCCTCCCTCCCCTCCCCTCCCCTCCCCTCCCCTCCCCTCCCCTCCCCTCCCCTCCCTCCCCTCCCCTCCCCTCCCCCCCCCCTCCCATCCCCTCCCTCCCCTCCCATCCCCTCCCTCCCCTCCCCTCCCATCCCCTCCCTCCCCTCCCCTCCCATCCCCTCCCTCCCCTCCCCTCCCCTCCCCTCCCCTCCCCTCCCCTCCCCTCCCCTCCCCTCCCCTCCCCTGTCCACCCTATACTCTCACGTGTCAACCATCATGACTTTTGAGTCGACTCAAATGTCAACCATCACCATCCCCACCTTGGTAGTCAACACTGCAGCCAGTCGCAGGAAGAGCGCCCCTCTGTGAGGAAGAGCGCACCTCTGTGAGGAAGAGCGCCCCTCTGTGTGAGCCTCACTCACTCCTCCCATTCACAGGAACGGTGCTGACCGTTGAAAAGAACTCCACCACCACGCCATCTGCATTCGCCTCCACCTCCACTCCTCCGCTCCCCTCCCGCACTACCTCACACGCCATCCCCATGGCTCGCCTTGGTGGTCAACACTTCAGTCAGACGTTGAAACAGCGCCCCTTGAAAAGCCTCTCTCTGTTCATTCACCAGCACCGTGTTGACCGCTGAAAAGCACTCCACCACCGCATCAACACTCAATTCCACCTCCTCCGCTTCCCTCCCCTCTGGCACCCACACAAACCATCCCCCGTGACCCATCCAAGCACACGAGCCCACCCACCTTGGTTGTGAGGGTTTCAGCGAGGCGAAGGAAGAGCGCCCCTCGGTACCCCTCACTGCGCTCATTCACCGGCACTATATTCACAGCTGAAAAGAACTCCACCACCCCGTCTGCACTCGCCTCCACCTCCTCCGCGCTCTCCCCCTCCCCGCCCTCCCCTCCCCCCCACGCTCCCCCGCCCCCTGCAGCGCACGCCAGCACGACCTCCCCCACAGCCACGCCCTCGGGCGCACGCGGGTCCGTGAGCGCCTCTGGGTGCTCCTCTGCCACGGCCACTGCCACGGCGCTCAACCCCCTCTGCACTGCGCGCCTGGCCTCGTGTGTCCATTGGCCTGACTGTGCCTGCGCCACGTCCCAGGCGTCAAGGAGAGCTTTCAGAATGGACGAAATGACTGGTGCTGCTGCGTCTGGTGCTGGGGACGATAAGGGGGAGGGGGAAGGGGAGGGAGGCATGTGAGCGCCTCTGGGTGCTCCTCTGCCACGGCCACTGCCACGGCGCTCAACCCCCTCTTCACTGCGCGCCTGGCCTCGTGTGACCACGTGCCTGAGTGTGCCTGGGCCACGTCCCATGCGTCAAGAAGGGCCTTTAGCACGGATGATATGACTGGTGCTGACGCATCTGGTGCTGGGGGAGGGAAGGTGGGAACGGGGGAAGGGGGGAAGGGAGGGGAGGGATGCATGTGAGCGCCTCTGGGTGCTCCTCTGCCACGGCCACTGCCACGGCACTCAACCCCTCTTCACTGCACGCCTGGCCTCGTGTGACCATGTGCCTGAGTGTGCCTGCGCCACGTCCCAGGCGTCAAGGAGGGCCATAGGCCCATAGCACGGACAGGATGACTGGTGCTGGCGCGACTGGTGCTGGGGGAGGGAGGGGGAGGCAGGGAGAAGGTGAGTAACATCTAGAGGTTCCTCGCATGTGACATGTGATGTGATGTGATGTTCAATACTGCGAATTGTCACATATGACAGACATGTGGAATTAACTTACCTTGGGGCTCTGATTGGCTGACGTGACAAGAGCCACCAGAATATTGGCGCTGGTGGCAGTGACAGGTGGGTGGGGGAATGCGAGCGAGCGACTTGTGAGGCGCAGCGCATCAGGAAGTGACCCACCTTGGTTGTGGTTGATTTGATTGACAAGAAATGAACCCACCCACCTTGGGCCTCTGATTGGCCGACGAGGGCCACCAGGATATCGGCGCTGGTGGCAGCGACAGGCGGGTGGGGCGATGCGAGCGAGCGGAGAACAAAGTGCCAGAGGAAGGGGAAGGCGGTGCTGAGCTGGCACGCTGTGATTGGCTGCTGGGCCACGGAGGCGAAGTCGAGGTGCAGCCAGGTGAGCAGCAGGCGGAGGAAGGCGGAGAGCATGGGTGGGGGGTGCGGGGGGAGGTGCGGGGGGAAGGAGGGGGAGGAGAGGGAGGGGCTGTGGCGCTGCGAGTAGGTCTGGATGATCTGCAGTAGATCTGGAAAGCGGGTCTGCAGGCATGGGGAGGAATGGAGGGATGGAGGGGTGGGGGCCAAAGGCAAGGAGAGAAATCAAGGATGTAGGCATTGCGGAGAGAGGAAAAGTGGCGCTGCGAGTAGGTCTGGATGATCTGCAGAAGGAAAGCGGGTCTGCAGGCATGGGGGGGAAATGGATGGGGGGGTGGGATGGAAGGATGACATTTGAGAATTCTCAAAAGTGACTCCAACGTTGATGCATGTAGGTGTAGATGAGCTAAAGGAGGTCCGGGAGGCGGGTGTGGATTGGGTGCTGGGCTGGCTCACGGAGGCGAAGTCGAGGTGCAGCCAGGTGAGGAGCAGGCGGAGGAACGCGGGGAGCATGGGGGGGGGTGGGGTGGGGGGGGGGGGAGGTGCGGGGGGAAGGAGGGGGAGGAGAGGGAGGGGCTGTGGCGCTGCGAGTAGGTCTGGATGATCTGCAGTAGGTCCGGGAAGCGGGTCTGCAGGCATGGGGGGAAATGGAGGGATGGAAGAAAGGATGAGATTTGAGAATTTTGAAAAGTGACTCCCAACATCGCTGCATCTGCATGCATGTAGGTGTGGATGATTTGATCTGATCTGAAGGAGGTCCGGGAAGCGCATGGGGATTGGGTGCTGGGCCATGGAGGCGAAGTCGAGGTGCAGCCAGGTGAGGAGCAGGCGGAGGAAGGCGGAGAGCATGGGCGGGGGGTGCGGGGGGAAGGAGGGGGAGGAGAGGGAGGAGCTGTGGCGCTGCGAGTAGGTCTGGATGTTCTGAAGGAGGTCCGGGAAGCGGGTCTGCAGGCATGGATGGAGGAGGGAGGGATGGAGGCATGGAGGGATGAAGGCAGGGACGGAGGGATGGAGGGGGCATGGGTTCGAAGGCAAGCAGAGAAATGACGGATGCAGGCGTTGCGGATGGGAGGGTATGGGGGGGGATGGTTGTTGTTGTTGTGGGGAAACGAATGTGGCAGAATGGGAAGGGAGGTGGGTTCGAGTCTGCTTTAGAGACGCCCCGAAAGCAGCAGCAGGCGTGCAATGCACAACAGCCAGGCAAGCCACCATAGGGGAGATCAACTTCATGACCAACGCCAGTCAACGCTGGTCAACGCCAGTCAACGCTGGACAACGCCAGTCAACGCATGCACTCCTATTGCAGCCCTCGCCCCCTCCCCTCTCCTTCCCTCTACTCCCCTGCGGCCTGCCCACCCCTCCTACAGCCGTTGTGAGGGGAGAATGCCTCCGCTAGTGCGCGCGTACCCGGATGAGCGCGAGGGTGATCTCTGTGTTGCGCCGGTCCAGCTGCTCCGCCTCTTCCGCCACCCCCTGCAGCACCGCCACCACCACCGCCAGCGCCTGGTCGCTTGCGCTTCCCCGTCCCCCTCCCCCTCCTCCCAGCCCTTGCGCGCCAGATCCCCCCTCGCTCTTCTCCGCCACGTCAGCGGCGCGCAGCACGACGTCCAATAGCGTGCTGGCATTCAGCGCATGCTGATTGGCCGATCGCAGCGCGACCGCCGCCACGACGAGGCAGACGCGCGAGAGGACGACAGGTGGCACGCTGCTATTGGTCATGTAAGACGCGACGAGGCGCAGCAAATGCGCGCCGAGCTCTGCGCCCGAGTCTGGGGGGAGAGCGGAGAGATCGGAGCGCGCTTTCGAAAGAAGGAGATTGGCGCAAAAGTAACGGACTTCCATTGACTGCGCTGACTCGACGAGACTCGCGGCGACGCCCCATGCGGCGGGGGTTGCGGCGAAGGAGGTGAGCCATGCGTTGGCCTGGGACTTGCGATCCGGGGAGGGATCCGTGTAGAGAATGGAGACTGCCTCGACCACTTGTGAGGCGTCCATTGCTGAACGTTCCTAACTACGTGCAGGCCGCCAAATCTCGGAGCGCCTTTATCTGAGGTGCTGGGAGGAAAAAGCAGGAAAGTGACTGCCAGTGAGGCTGGGGGAGTGGAGTGGAGGATCCAGCAAGGTGTTTCGTTAGTTGCAGCTCCGTAACTTGGAGGATGGAATTTGAATAAGCTCACTAGGTTATGCAGCAAACTTATATAATACACTTTCTAGAATGACATTTTGGGATAAAAGACCTTGGAACCCTTGAATGAGCTCAAAGGAATAGAAAACAAAAACTGTAAAATTAAATAATCAGCTATAAAATATCATGGATAAAGATTTGGTTGGTGGGCAATTCTGAAAGAATTTGCCAGCTGTATATCATGTCACATAGAATTATTGATATTTATTTATAACGAGATGGTTTATTTACTTGCATCTTACTCTCTCAAACGGTCAGAAATCCCCCCTCCCCCCCAGTGCGCCTTTCCCTTTCCAGCAACTAAACTGATGTTTAATACATACTTAGCAACTTATTCCATGTAGAGCACCAGATGTATTGGTAGTGTTGGGCCCGAATTGAGAAACCCGATGACCCACCAACCACCTCTCCGCCGATTTTCTCGAGGCTGTCAATTCTCAGCTCCACGTGGCCGAGTGTGGGGGGGGATCTACCAGTGGACATTTCCCCGTGTGGTCCCACCCTCTCAGGCACGGCTGACTCAGATCAGAGGCCCACCGCGCCAGACATCACTTGCGTCACATCTCCCGAACCCACACTGCTCCCAGGCTCGCACCAGCCACGGTTACAGACAGGCAGGTACCCACCAAACCAATACCAACGAAACGGCTGTGGTGTGTGTATAATCCGCCTGCCTTGAGATCTCCGTCACATTTGAAATTCTGCGAGCAAGGCTTTCCCATCAATCAGGGGCTTGCTCTCTGATCGCCTTTGTTACTGACTGGTTAGTTTACCAGGAAGTGGACTAAACTTAATCTCCTCTGGTCTTGCATAGTAGCGTGGAGCCAAAATGTCGACCGGCCAGCTGTTTTCGAAGAACACCCAGGCTCTGTTCTACAACTATAAGCAGAACCCGGTCCAACGGATGCTGGATTTCGACTTCTTATGCGGTGCGAAACGTGCCTAGCGCCAGCGGCGGATGTGGTTTTTGGAGTTCCGCTTGTCTTTTAGGGTTGTAGTAGCGCCTACCCAGTCCGCCTTCCAGCTAAAGCAGATGCCCCACACTCAAACTCTTGCTGGCTAGACTAATTCGACACCGAATTCACGCGTCTGATCCTTCTCTCTTCCGATCTTGCCCAGGCCGAAATCTACCCTCTGTTGCCGGCATCATCACACCGGGATCGGATGGCTTTCACAAGCTCTTCTTCGGCCAAGAGGAGATCGCGCTTCCGGTCCACCCCAGGTTAGTATCATCTCGCAAATAAAGATAAGATCCTCTCCTGCCTCGCAGTCAGCATCGCTCGTCTGTATGCACGCCATGCCGAGCCTACCTCGAATCTGGATCAAAACACGACGGGCGGCCATTTATGCAGCCATCCTCATAACTTGTTTCTTTCGAATGCCTTGGTTCCGTCCTTGTGTTTATTCCCGATACAGCATCACGGCGGCCTGCAAAGCGCATCCAACGGCTGACGTCTTCGTCAACTTCGCCTCGTTCCGAAGGTGTGGCTTGCGGGAATAAATGATCGTGTTACCACTCGGCAGGCACTGCGCATGTTTCACACAACTCTCTGCTCAACGACACACTGCCGTACATGGTTACGCGTTATTGGTACCATTCGTTGTCTTCACATCCCGTGCACTTGACACCCCATCCGTCGCCGCAGTGCGTTGGAGTCGTCGTTTGAGGCGTTGAAGCAGCCCACCATCCGAGTGGTGGCCATCATCGCCGAGTCGTCGTTCGTTGTCTTCACATCCCGTGCACTTGACCCTCCCCTCCCAACCCATCCCTCGCGGCAGTGCGTTCGAGTCGTCGTTCGAGGCGTTGAAGCAGCCCACCATCCGCGTGGTGGCCATCATCGCAGAGGGCGTGCCAGAGGCTGACGCGAAAACGCTCATCGCCTACGCGCGCGCCAACAACAAGGTACCCGCACCAGCACCACCTATCCATCCACGTCCCAGCATACCTCATCTCATCTCTCACCCGTTTCACGTCCCCGTTCACAAGCTTCAGCCCCATTGTGGCAAAACCGTCAGATCTTCCCGACTGTTTCTCCCCAGAGTTACTAAGCATTCAGCTGACTGACATGCGCTGTGCTGTGGTGCTTGGGCAACAGGTGATTATTGGCCCAGCAACGGTGGGCGGCATCCAGGCAGGAGCGTTCAAGATTGGAGACACAGCCGGCACGCTGGACAACATCATCAGCTGCAAGCTCTACCGCCCTGGCTCCGTCGGCTTCGTCTCCAAGTCGGTGAGAGTCTCGCACGCCGTGCGGTGCCTGCAAGGCCGCTCTGATTTCGTGGATGTGGGTGCCCTGTTACTTCTTTCATGTCGTTGCTCATTCTGCCATGTGCATCCTTTTCTCATTTCCCTTTTCTCATTTCTATCTGATCGTTGTGTTTCTGGTTTCGGTGGCTGCAGGGAGGCATGTCGAACGAGATGTACAACGTGCTGGCGCGCACCACGGATGGGCTCTACGAAGGTGAGCGAGGAAAGGGGTGGAGTGGAGTGGAGTGGATGATTCAGGAGTGAATCAAGATTGCATGTCAGTCGTGACCCAGGCGATGACCGACATGTTCCGGTCTTACTCTCGAATGCTGGCAATGTTCGTCCAGCAGCTAACGCTTCCCTCTTGTCCCGTTTGTTCATCAGTAGTGGTAATCGCCCACGTCAGTGTTGAGTTGAGACGTCTCAAGAACAGTGGTGATGCTCACCTGCTGCACTGCTGTCTGTCTCCCCGCATCTCCCGTCCAGGTATCGCCATTGGTGGCGATGGCTTCCCAGGCTCCACACTCTCAGACCATGTCTTGAGATTCAACAACATTCCGCAGGTATGAGAGTTGTGGCCAACACGAGCTGCACGTGTCTGTGTGTGTTTCATCATTCTCAAGTCAGTTTGGGCCAGCCAGAAGAGTCATGTGGTGGCATGATTGCTTCTGCATGCTCATCCCCCTCCTCCACCCCCCACACACCCCCTCCTCTGTGTCAGATCCGCATGATAGTGGTGCTGGGCGAGCTGGGCGGAGCAGACGAGTACTCACTGGTGGATGCGTTGAAGGAGGGAAGGTTCAAACATGTGCTCTGCCCACCTCCACCCTCTCACCCCCTTTCCTTCCTCTCCACCCTCCCTTGCATGGTCAGATCCGCATGATAGTGGTGCTGGGCGAGCTGGGTGGCGCGGACGAGTACTCACTGGTGGATGCATTGAAGGAGGGGCGCGTGAACAAGCCCGTGGTGGCGTGGGTCAGTGGCACCTGCGCCACTCTCTTCAAGTCCGAAGTGCAGTTTGGCCACGCTGTAAGCCACCACACCACACCACACCACACCACACCACACCACACCACACCACACCACACCACACCACAACACACCACACCACACCACACCACACCACACCACACCACACCACACCACACCACACCACAACACACCACACCACACCACACCACACCACACCACACCACACCACACCACACCACACCACACCACACCACACCACACCGCCTTTGACTCACAACCCACCTGCGCCACTCTCTTCAAGTCCAAAGTGCAATTCGGCCACGCTGTAAGCCACCACACCACGCCGCCTTCGACCCACCTGCTGCAAGCATGTAATGATTACTTTCGAACACCCACTCTTGTCAAGTACCACGTGCAATTCGTCCCTGCTGTAAGCCACAGTGCAGAGGTAGCTGGGTTTTCTATCTTGATCTTGGCCCGATTGTCAAACTCTTCGCATAGCATTTGTTAACAGCGTCCAGTCGGCTTCGGTTGAACAGACTTTTCCTCCAGTTTGTCCCCTGAAGACGCCAAGAGTGGACGTGAGAACGAGCTCCTCAGCGCAGACACTTATTGCAGAACCCAATGCAGTGGGGGGCACCGTACTAAAAGAGAAGTGTTACGATGTTTCAACTTGGTCCTGAATCCCCAATTGCTCCACCAGGGCGCCAAGAGCGGAGGGGAGAGCGAGTCAGCGCAGGCGAAGAACGCGGCACTGAAGGCAGCTGGGGCCATTGTGCCGACGTCATTTGAGGATCTGGAGGCCGTCATCCGCGCTACCTATGAGAAGCTCGTGAGTCTCACGCCTGTGTTGCATGATTACCAGCACAGCCGTGCACAGGCAGCCACAGCACAGGAATACACCGCCATTAGGAGGAACAGGCAGTGAGCACAGGCACTCCACCATAAACGTCATTACTCATCGTTCTCTTCAGTCAAAGGTCTCGTGTCTCACAACTCGAGCATCAGTCAAGGAACAGGCTCCCATTGCCGGATGATATGATGTTACTCGCCCTTCCTCTCCCGCTCATAGTACGGGTATGGTGTGTCAGTGCACCATACCATAAGCATCGTGTGGCTGTACGCCAACTTTCCGCTCACCACTGCAAAACAATGCTGTCTCTCTCTCATTTCCCCCCCTCCATACCTTCGACTCTCTCACGCCACCACCATCCGTCACTTGTTCCAACGTCTCGATTCTGCCATGTCCCAACGTGGAAGGGGCCGCCAGTGGCAGAGCAGCAGAGGCCCACTCACACGCCTCAAGACCTCTGAGCACCCCTTTTCTGTTGATCCCCTGGTGGCGGAGGGCGCTGTCCAGCCAGTGGCGGAGAAGCAGCCACCTACAGTGCCAGAGGACCTCACTTTCTCCCTCAACGCCCTCACTTCCCCCACCCCCTTCCCCATCACGCACGCCTTGCTGGTGCGTGCAGGTAGCAGAGGGCGCCATCCAGCCAGTGGCGGAGAAGCAGCCGCCTACAGTGCCAGAGGACCTCACAGCGGCCATCAAGGCGGGCAAAGTGCGCGCCCCCACCCACATCGTCTCTACCA